TTCATAATATAGTTAGGAGATATATTGCGTTTTCTTTACTTTTATGTGTTTTGTATACTGTTGTTTTAAAATGCTGGCACTAATACTTTTAGTTCTATTTCCTTTCTCTACCTTTTATCTAACATCGACCTCATGGAGGAACTAAACAAGATATAGCATATATAGAAAAGAATTGGCATATATTACATGAAAAGGTGTTCAAGGAAAAGCTCGTGCGAAACGTTTCTTCATAAAATATTGATAGAGGAAGCAGGAATGATACGGAGTAGAACCAGCTCCTGAAATCTTTAACATGGATACATATAAGCGTTACTGACCTTTTTAAATAAATCAATAATTAATTTTTAATCCATCTGTCATAACTATCCTTGAACGAACGGCGACCCAGCATGTACCAAAGCTTAAAAAGTCTAGGCAGAGAGACGATTTGTTTAAAACCCTTTGCCAGCTTTACTGCTGGAAGAATTAAAATAAATTACCAAATAAATGAAAAAGGAAAGATGCCGATAGAGGGAAAAAATTGGATGCGAATCGAATACCTTTTTCTCGCAGTGATCGTTCCTCACACGTGTGCAGTGGAGTTTTCTGTGAACCGTTTTCAAACCATTTTTCCTTTTACATTCTTGACGTATTGATTTTCATCGAAATTTTTCGAAATCAATATCTTAGTATTCCTAGGTAACAGTTGACCTTTTTGCACATAGATCATGGATTTTTCTAGGTCATCTGAAAGTTCGTTCACTAAGGAAGACTTTAACCAGAATGTTTACATTTGATAATAAAGAAACTACTATGAATGTTAATATAAAACCGATGTCGTTATTATTCTCTCAACCTTGCACCTGAGCAAACAGTAGACTTTTCTACTTAGACTCATCCGCGGGTAGGGCAGAAAATGCATCGAGTCTTTTTCAGCACCTCTTGGCGTGTCGATCGAGTCAACAACCCAACTTACTACTACAAATATACGAGAAGTATAATATTTTACTGGAATTTTCTTTTCTGTCATCTGAACAAAACGTCTCACAAAATTTTCTGCTCTTTTAATCTGTTAGAACGAGGAACGCCTGTCAACTTTGTAAGCTTTTAATATAAAACTCTTTTGGATATTCAGGTGGCACAAACTCAAACCAGATACCTTCTTCAAGTTCAAATAGAGGAAGTAGTATGGTGGCCATCACTTCAAGTGGCATCATCACCGAAGAGACATCTATTACTAAATCAACTGGAACAATTACTGAAGAGTCTCTAAGCACTGGATCAACGGAAACCATTAGTGAACTTACTGCTAATACAGAGTCCACTCGAACAAATACTGCTCAAACCACGGAAACAAGTACAGAGCAGATCACTGTGGCTGCTACAATGACAAATGCTGGTATGCGTATATCTTCAAATAATGCTAAGCTAACGCTTGTATTTGAAAGCGTGATGTTGTCGAAATTAGTAACACAAGATGATGTTATATCATCGACAATAGAGCGAAGGAAAGCTTCTCGCCCCAGTTGTGTACTGTCTGAGAGTGGTGTCGATTTCCTACATCGATTGCTTGTTCACACAAAAGTTCACATAAATTGTGTTCTCTAGTCTGAGGGTATTACAACAAAGGGAAGCTGGGTTTGTACAGCATACATGATATTCTTAAGCCACTGAAAACCTGAAGGATTTGGGGTTTTAAAGATTATGGACCACGAAGGGGCACCTTGGAAGCTTGGACCAAAAAATTGCCTTCCCTAACTGAAAAGTCACAAGTCACAGCTACACAACACTAACACTATCGTATACAAATCAGTACAGCTCTAATTCTTCTGAAACATCTTTCCCCAAAATGCAAAAAACGATTCAATTCAAGCTGTGTATCAGGCAGGTATCGTTCGATGACAACTAAAAATACACCTAACCAAAAATAGATAATCAGTCTCCTTTCATCCCAAAAGTATACTAAAGAAACTGTCCACTGACTCATAATAAAATGAATCAGTACACTTGAACAGGGAAAAGCCTGTTGCCACAAAACGTCCCTGACCGACAGCTTCCTTCCACTCATTTTCACCTCAATACTTGTTTGCAATCTTTCTTTCTCTCTTGTGCGGACGGAAGCCGATATTAGATTTATAACTTTTGTTATTCTTGTGGCCTTATAATATTTCGAACAATGAGCATTAAAATCTCGCGTAAAAAATATGCCGTCATAAAGCGAAACACTTTTTTTACGAGTAAGTGTTTGAGATAATAGTTCTGAGCTTTGGTTTAATTGTTCATCACAAACCTCTCGTCGATAAGG